AAATTAAATTATTTTAAAAATATGTCGACGTCCGTGACGTCGAGTAGATCACTGTGGTATATTCATATACCTAAATTGAACACCGTATGAGAAAGTTATTGAAGATTGTTGGTTAGGTGTTCAAATAACGTTTTATAGTTTTCACATTTAGGTGAAAAATGTGAATTGATGATCCGACCGTTGGATCGTCACCAAACTTTGATACGTTGTAATACGTAATATTTTGAGGATTATTGGAACTTACGGATTGGGAATCCGAGTTACGGATCTTCCGGAATTGGAATTGTAAGTCCATAATATAAAATGTTAACCGTCACTTAGTTTTGGAAATTGACGGAGATCCGACCGTTGGATGGTAATGAAATTTTAGGATGTTATCCTAGAGATATATTGTGGACCTCTGGAAGTTATGGATTTAAAATCTGAGTGGCAGATCTTCCGGATCGAACTACGTAGTGACGTATTTTATATAAGTTATATATTCTATCGATATGAATTCTGAGGTTGGATTTGATTACTATTCTAGGCGGCGATCGTCGTGACGCCTTGATGTGTGTGTGCTAGGGAGTTGTTGGACGAACTCCAGGTGAGTGGGCAGTTTTGTTTTCCGTATATATATATATACTTAACGTTTTCCCAGAAATTGAAAATGCATGAAATTTATGTTTAAAATGAAATGCATATGAGTTATGTGGAAAAACGGGAAGTGAAAATACCATGCATAGAATTGATATGAAAAAGTATATAGAAATGTGAGTTGAAATGCCATGCATGAATTAATATATGATGCATATGTATGAATTGGTGCGGTGGACGCACAGGTAAGAATTGATTTATGATGCATATGTATGAAATGGTGCGGTGGAACGCACATATGAGTATTTAATTACTGTTTATGATGATGATGATATATATTGAGCTCAAATCCTGCACCATGGTTTAGTGCTTATAGTATTCACCGCATCGCACGCTCGCCTTGGATCCAAGTAGATGCTAGTCGTACACAGTCCACGCGGGAGTGGGTACGACAGACCAGTCGCGAGAGTGTTAGTGAGATTCCGACTGGTGGGTGACCTTAGATTATGTGCACAAATGATTTATGAGAAGCACTAGAGCGTAACTTGTGTGCAGAAGGCCGGACGGGTCACAGAGGTGACTCCGGTAGAGTGATAATGATAGATTTTGAGCTCTAGGTTCAACCGTATAGGGCTATTAGAGGGCCTACGGTTGATTACTTTCTTGCACCTGATATGATTATGTTGATGCATTCATACCTTATTACTGTTGAGATGATGTGGCATGGCATAATTAATATGAGAAATGTTTGAGATGACATGGCATGGCATGATTGATAAAGAGATAATGTTGAGATAGTAAAAATGAAGTTTTGAGAATATATATGTATATTTATATTTTACATTTCTGGGAAAGTATACAGGTTTTACGGAGAGGGGTTACAACGTTTTGAGAAATGTTTGGATTTGGAAAAGAATTGTTTTACTGACCCACTCAATTTTGGTTTTGCGCCCCTCCAGGTTCAGGAATCACAAAGGTGTGGTGACTACGAGGAATTCGACGGTGTTCTGACAGATTGGACAAAATTAGGACTCACCTTCGGGTGTATCAATTTAAATTGTATCTTAAAGCTTCCGTACTGTGCAAATGGTTACGTCACTCTCACGTGACGGCCAGCATGCCCTCCTTCGGGATGGGGTGTGTCATTTTATATTAATTTTTTTTATAGAGATAATAAGACAAAAAACAATAGAAATATAAAATGTTGATATGATTTAACCGTGACTGCATCAATAGAAGGGAATGGAAAAGACACTATAACAAGAAGGCAGACAATCTACCTCCTATTTTAATACCCATATGTTATCTACGAATTATACTACATCAGAGTTCCAAATCCAATCCCATTAAATATTTTTTTTTTCCGAAATTTGGGTCAGATTGCAGATTCTCTGTGAAACTTTGACTGATCAGACACTTCAAATCAATCTTATTTATATTTATTTCTGATCTTATTTGTTGGCGTCCTCATCAAAGTATTAAACAAATCATGTCAATAAATGAAATTAAAAAAAATTGAATTAAAAAAAAAAAGATTTTCCCGACACACATTATTCGAATTCTCTTATTTTTTGTTTGAACGAAGAAATTTAAGATCATAATAAAATTTAAAATGATGGAATTTTATTTTTTTAGAATTTTAAAATGACAGAGCTTTATTTTTTAGAATTTTAAAATGACGGAGTTTTATTTTCTAGAATTTATGAATTTTCTTGTTTGGGTTAACATAAAAGAAAAATGGAATTTGAATATGGAAATTATTATTTTTAAACTCTCACATTATACATATAGAAATTTGGAATTGACACCTATTTATATGAAATTTAAACTTGAGAATTGGAAGTCCCAAATTCCAAGTTTTTTTTTTTGCAGGCGGACATTATAAATTTCTATGTTTATAAATCTAAATAAAAAAATTTGTGCATATCAATTTATAAATTATAACTTTTGTTAAAATTCTAAATTTATTTCCCTCATTCAAACATAGTATTAGAAAGTCATCTACATTTGTTGTTTTTAACAATATATATATTGGGTATTGCTATTCACACACCTATTTTTACTTTTTATACACTCATCTCAATTTTCGACCGTTAAATTGAATAAATTGAAGAAGATGAATAACAATTTTTTTTTTTAAAAAGTGTGGGAGATAAAAAGAGTGTGTTAATAGCATTTTCCTACATATTGATGCCACCGTAGGGTACTGTTCTAAGCTAAACTAGCTAGTCATATTTTTACCTGTGACGACGTCCTTGAAGAACTCGGCGGAGTCCGCCAGCTCTTGGGCCGTCTTGCCCTTCCACTTGACGGCGAGGACAGGCACGGCGTTATCCTCCAGTACCCCCGATCACCGTGAACTTCACGAACTTGCCCTCGATCGGCAGACCCTCACCCCTGCGCACGTTAGCACTTGCAAAGTACAGTACCTCTAACGTATACTCAAAAGCATGCAAACCCAATAAACTATCATTAGTTCCTTTATCATCAAATTAATTGAATAGTTAATTAAGAACCTGCGCCGCCGAGGAAGAGGGTATTGGCGGAGCCGGGAGGCTTGGCGGTCGGCGGAAACGTCATCGTTTCGACCTGAACTGGGGTGCCTGAGAGGGTATAGTGAGGCCATTGAATACTGGCTTTCTTCTTTTGGCCAACCTTAAAATGTTTGATTTCGTTTTGATGGTGAGTGTTTAAACGGTAGGAACGAGGTGTGTGTTTTTATAGAGCCCGAAGGGCGTGATTAACGTGAGCCCGCCTTTTACAGTTTGTAGTGTTGAGCGGAAGCTACATCTAACGGGCCATCTTAAACTTATCGAGATGACAGTGCGTCGATATTTTAAATCAAACACGATAAAACCATGTCAACAAGTAAAACTGTAACTCTTTCTAGCGCACTATTTAATAATGTGAGTTTTACCATTGTTTGTGAGGAACACTTATATTTCAGAACACACATGTTAGGTTTTTTTTTTTTTTTTTTTTTTTTTTTTTCCGGTCAAACAACTAAATTTCATTAAAGATAAAATACACTAATACAAAGTGAGATTAGTCCAAAAATAGTCCACAACACAGTAAAAATGCAACCCATTACAAAAGTAAAGGAAACAAGCTGAGCCCAAGGTACAACCTAAACTGATAACCCTAGATCTGGAAACGAGAAACAACTGCTTCCACCAAAACAGCCACACCACGATCGCCAAGCTGCCTCCATTGGTAAGAAGAACCGACAAACTAAAAGAATGAACGGAAAATGAGAGTGGGCAAGCCACCTGCGCAAAAAGCGCTCCTATAATCCTACCAAATAGTACAAAATGCACTTTAATAGCCACCGAAATCCCAAGGGACTCCTCCAACCGAAGACCATAGAGGAAGAGCACAAGGAGTCGAATAGTTGAACCAAGTGGGCAGGAGCTCGCGACTGGGAGCAACAATTTGGGAAGGAAAAAGCCTGAAACTCAGATATGCAATTGCCAAATATTAAGACAAATCTCAAAGAAATTGTGACAAAGCTCAAGGAAAATGAGACAAGCTCAAAGCAAAACAACAAAAAAACAGGGGCCAAAGAAAAAGAATAGGAAGAAGATGGGGCTTAGGGAAGAAGGAGAAGGGGAAAAAGGAAGGAGGAGATGAGGTTGCCACTAACCCCACCCAAGAGGAAGGGCTGGCAGGTTAAGGTAGGCTTGATTTGGAGGAATCTGGGTTTGGGAAGGGGGGAGCGGCGCCTCTAGGGTGTTTTTGGAGAGCAGGGGGAGCTAGAACACACATATTAGTTGAAAAAGTATCATTAGACCGTAATACTAAATAACAAATAACATTAATGTTTGGAAATTATATTTGATATCGGTGTTGTTGTGATTTGGGTGTCCAACGTAGGCCTGGCATTTTGGACCCAACCCGTTAACCCGACCCGACCCAACCCGTTAATATTTGTATTTGGGTGGATGCTTAACGGGTCGGGTCGCTAACGGGTGAACCCGTTAACAACCCGTTAAATAACGGGTCACTTTGGGTCAACCCGTTAGACCCGTTAGGACCCGTTAGCACCCGTTAGTTGAGGATATTTTAGTAATTTTAGTAAAGTCTTAAGAACAAAAAATAAACTTTATGCAAAAAAAAAATAATAATAATAATTGTTAACGGGTGTTAACGGATGAAACGGGTGACCCGTTAGCTTAACGGGTCGGGTTCGGGTGACCCGTTAGCTTAACGGGTTGGGTTCGGGTGACCCATTAACTTAACGGGTCGGGTTCAACCCGACCCAAACCCAATAAACCCGACCCGTTTACAGGTCTAGTCCAACGTATGTTGCTAGGTGTCCAAAGCATATGGCAACTTCAATCCTGCCTTTGGGCCTTTTGCTATGTACCGCATAGTATAATCACTTGGTATAACGCCCGCTCGTTGCCGCGGGTTTAAAAACAATGTAACAAAATATTAATACCATTGATAACAAAAATATTAGAAACACTATAGAGATAAACAGTTAAATATGGACAACTTCATTGGTAAATATTACATCCATTTGTCATAGTTTAGTAGTTATAGCTATCATTCTACTGAAACCAGCACTTGGATACAAAAAATTACAAAATGCTGGTCTATGTACATGCAAAAAATATTACATTCATCTAACAGTCTGGTAGTTGTAGTTGTTTTTAACCAGAACCAGAAATGATAAACAAAATATTAAGAAGTGCTGGTGTATGAACATGCAAAAATATTGATAAGTTTTGAGTAAAAAAAGTTATTTGCATGCCATAAAACATCCGGAAGAGTTCTTTACATATGCTGATGAACCATACTGTATATTTTTTAGGGCACCAGATGAAGTTTTGGTTCTACACTGTCAAAACAACCTAGTTGCAGAAAAGAAAACAAACTATATTTAAATAACTCGTTTGGTAACTGTTGTTGGTAAAACTAATCTTTGATTCAGTACTAAGTCTTTACATGGCACACCAAAAAGCTTTTCACCAGATTTTCCAATTATGAGAGCATTGATTTCAATGGTGTGATACTCAAGAACCAAATTGACTTTATACCTAGATTAAAAAAAAGGAAACTGCTTGAGGGAAAATAATCTTGAATTCAACTTATACAAATAAAAATAAAACAGAAGAAAGCATTGATAAAGCCAGAAAGATCAGTGTTTGTTTTTTAACTTAAATCTACAACAAAATTCTTGGTTATTAAGTTTATTAATAGTTTGGATTTATGATAGCCATATTAACGTGTGAGAAAAGCAGAGTATATGTGAAGACCATAACCAATACTGGAACAATTTGACCAAGTGTAAACGAAAAGAAGCAGATTGTAGTCACTAAGTAATGAAGATAACATGATCAAAAGTGCATAAGCTATACCAATTTTGTACAAAAAGGGTAAATCTGTGCTGCAGTAAGTATGTTTTGAACAAGGATTTAATTGTTGAACACATAGTATTTGAAAGTTATTTAAATAACGTGAAAGCAGGAAAGGTAAGAATTTTTTGTTTAACATCACAAAATTTAAGCTAAGTATCAATCTAACAAAGTTTTGGATAACAGCTGCAGAAAAACAGCGAGAAAAATAATCAATGAGGGTGAGGATATCTGACCTGATTTCATTCTTCATAAATGTATTCAAACCATGTGCATACAAATATGAGAAAAAATGTCAAAAATGTGAAAAAAAAGATTTGGTAAATGTTAGATTATATAAAGAATGAATAAAAGATAAGGATAACAAATATTTAAAGCAATTTATGACAAAGTTTGAGGAATGCATGTTAAACATTACCAAGGAGTTGGAATTTGGTTTGGATGTTTTGGCAGATCAGCTGTTCAGTTGTCAAAGTCTTTATGCATTTGTTTTACACAGTTGGCATACACACTATACCACCATTGATAACGTGTCCAAACACTTGACACACGCTTTACAAAAAAAACGTATCATTTTGCAAAACAGCTTGTAATAGTTTTGTACAAGGAATACTAATTATGTATACAATGTTTATTAAAAATGTAAAAATGCAATCATATGTTTTTAAGATGAGTTAAAAACATGTAATTAGATTTTATACCTTGTGTAAATCAGGATCTAGAAAAGCGACTTCATCAATTGTGAACATCTTGGCTGTGTGTAAAATTTCAGGCTCATTTACTTGTCTGGAGGAGGGGCCAATATTTTCATAGGCTCATTACAATTTGCAAACCTATATGATTGAAAATGTGAAACTGTTTGAATAATTTTATGAAACTAATATTTCTTTAGCTTTTACAACAGTGAAAAGAGTTTAATTGTGTTAACAGCTATAGAAATACTTACACCGACTTGTATGCATTAACTTCTGGGATGTCCGAATCAAAAAGGAAAAGTGAGCAACCAGTATTGTTCATCACAAAGTGTGAAGTTCACCTAAAAATATTTAATTCGTATGTTTACTTGCAATCTAAATAAATTACAGGATACACAATTAAATAATGATGTAAAATTAATGACAAAATATATATCAATGTGTTATGATTATCTGTATACAGTTAGGATTCATTATTGAATATATTACAAAGAATGATAAACAAAAATATTAATTGGCTAGTCAATCATTCTTGTTATAATTCTTCATCAAAATAATAAAACAATATTTTCTCACCGTCCCATCAAGCAAAATGCAGTGTAGAGATGTGTATTTTTTAGTAGTTCCGAGAATTGTTGATTGCCATATTCTACAAACGCGAGCTTTGATTTTCTCAGCCTTTATATACGGCCGTAACTCAAGGATGGGAGTCATCTCAATGTCTTTCATTAAATCTCTGCTTAAACAAGCATAGCTTGTATGAGTTAAAAAATTGTTATCGTCAAGTCTTAAAATAAATGATTAAATCAGTAAAAATATTAATTTCTCAGATATCAGTTATATAGCAATACTATCTTGTGTAAGTAATGTAGATAAATAAGGAAAGATAAGCTAACTTAAATCAAAATTTGATGACTATGCAGGAGTAAAGACTTAAACAAAATATTGATTAAGAAAAATTAAATGACTTATGAAAGTTCAAAAAGACACAGAAAAAAACAAATTGAATAGCAGTCATTGGTTCAAAGAATATAACTGAGCTCATACTATTATCCAACAACAGTTATCCATATCATAAACTGGGGGAGAAACAATATTTAGAAATCATTCAAATCAAGAAATACCCAATAACCCAAATTAAATTTTAATCAAACAAATGAAAACATACCAGCCAAATCAACAAAACCATAAAACACTTCACTCAAAAATCAATTAAGACTTAAAATTGGGATATTCATCAGAGAGTAAGCGTACCTAAAGCTGTGATCTTTATAGTTGCTAGAGCGCAGGACGACAATCATCGCTTCCTGAAAATAAAAAAGAACTAAATCAAACGACACAACCCAAAAAAAAAAAAAAATTTAAAATTTAAAACGCACGCTGAAAAAGAAGGGAAAAATAACCAGTAAGAACTTGCAAGACCTGAGAGGTTTTAAACAAAAGGAATCTGAGCAGTGCAACACTTGTCAGCCACCTAAAATTTAATCAAATTGCTATATCAGAACCATCATAAACATAAGAGGCAACCAAATTGATATAAACATAAGAAGCAATATAATCAAAATAAAACGCAGCTTATGATTTGGAGAACCTAAAATTTAATCCAAACAAAATATCGTGTAGACAAATTACTGGGTTCAACAGCCCGTAATTAGCAAAACCAAACAAAACCCCAAAATGATTTCAAAAAAAAAAAAAAATGAACAGAAAACATTCCACCCCGTTTATATCTTGCATCCCTTGTATAATCGTTTCCATCTGAGACCACATAAAAACCTCCAAATTCAATTTAACCACCAATGAAAATCCATAAGAGAAACTGGGTTTAAAAATTCACCCAAATAAAGATTTAACTTTTGTAATCTTTCGAATCTATCAAAACCAAACTTTTCAGTTTCAAACAAAAGAAAAATCAAAAGCCGAAAACCCTTACACTGATACGGTGTTGAGTGAGGAAACAAAGAGCTGAAACAGACACAAAGCGAGATTTGAAAGGGACGACCGAAGGCGGGAATGGACAGAGGAAAGGAACACGCACAGCTTGCAAAACGATAGAAATGCAGAATTTGGTATGGGAAACTGAACCAAAAGCAAAGTGGGTATAAACTAATAACCAAACCTCACGATGACCGACACGTGGGCTAGGTAAAAAAAATCACTGAAACGGCAGGGGAAAGGAATAGAGAAGATTCCAGGCAAAAAGAGGGGCATTACCGTCTTTTCATTGCAGAAATGGGGGCAACAACAAAAAGGAAAGTAAGCAACAACGAAGGTCATTTCTGACATTGTATTGTTAATAAACAGTAACCGATCGTTTCGGGTTGGACAAGGATTGTCTGCCCTTCTTGTTACCGTGCCTTCCTGTATGGTCACGGTTAAATCATATCAACATTTTATATTACTATTTATTTGTTTTATTATCTTTATAAAAAAACAATATAAAATATTAACGTTATTTAACTGTGATTACTCAAAACAGGAGGGCATGAGAACAAGGAGGGCAGACAATCCTTGTCCGAAAGTGGGTTGTCTTTCCTTTTCATGTTATTATTTTATTATTATCTATATGAAACCCCAAAGGACAAGGATTGTCTGCCCTCCTTGTTCTTATGTTCTCCTATTTTGTGTGGTTACGGTTAAGCCACATCAACATTTTATATTGTTTTTTTATAAAGATAATAAGACAAAAATGAATAATAATATAAAATATTGACGTAGTTTAACCGTGACCAGACAAACAGAAGAAGGGCACGGAAACAAGGAGGGCAGATAATACTTGTCCTCTGCTTTCAAACACTTCTGACATTTTACTGTTAATAAACGGTAACCGAGTGTTTTACCCTGTGGATAAACAAATTGGTTTTTGGACAAAAAATAATAAACAAATAGGTTGCAGGACAAAAGGACAAAAGAAATTATTAAAATTGTCAGAAGTTAAAACCGACACATGCTTTGTGGTCCAAAAAAACATAAAAAATTACAAAGAAATTGGTTGTTGGGGGAAAAATTGATTAAAAAATGTGCAGGGGTTTAAAAACCAAAGAACCACAGATGATGGACAGGTGGATAGAAACGGCAGACCCGATGCAATACTGTACAAAATGGAAAGAAGCACTGCAAAGACTAACATAAGGGGCATTTCAGTCAGTTAACTGCACCAAACAGGTAAGACAACGGAAAACAAAGAAGACACCAAGGGGCATTTAAGACATTACACTGCTCGTAAACAGTGTTTTCCGCTGAGTTTTAGTATATAGATAATGTATGTAAGAAGTTTATATTTAGGACCACGGACATTGCTACCCTTTTCATGCGCATTATTTATCAGCATCCACTGAAAAATAGCCCTATAAAATATATAGTTAAGCCATCTTCAACCGAATGAGTTACGTTTAGTTTCTGTTCAGATTACAGTCTTGTAAGAAATTATTTTTTAACGAACAGCACCATGCTATATCTATATATAATTTCCAATCGAATGGGGCTATTTTTAGCCCCCTCAATAATTTATTATTTTAAGTCCGTTCTTTAATTTTATCGATTATTGTCCCAATGAAATTTCAACGTTCATTAGAATATATTGTTCGTCAATTTATTTGAACTACATTAAATACCTTAAAAATTTTCAATTTAGCTAATATTTGTAAAGATGATTTATGATATGTAACTTGAAAAATAAACGATTCAAAGGGAGAGAGGATCCTCTTTAGATTCTTTTTGTGAGGATCCCGGGATCCTCCAAGCGCATATGTTTATCGTACATCGTACGGCTATTTTTGTCATGTACTGTTTATATTCAATTTTAAATAAAAAAATTACAATAATTTTTTATCACATAATATACGATGATGATTGGAGACAAAAAGAGAATCCCCAAGATCCTGAGGGTCGGGCGAGGATCCTTCTGGGTTCAAGTGAGTTCAGGTGATTAAAATTCAATGAGGATGGACCCACAACTGAACCTCATTTAAAAGAAAAATGGGAATATTTCTTTAAGTAGCTTTCTTACCAAAAAAATGAGAATCATCGGTTAAAATAGAAGTGGACTGGTAGTTTGTAAAGAGCAAGGACACATCAACTCAAACACACACACCCCCCTCCCCCAAAAAACGACGGCGCTTAAGTCCAACAACGTGGCAAACAAAACGCTGACTTGTTCATCCTCTCTTCTTCCCTCCCTCCGTCTGAACTGGCAATGGTTCGCCAAAAAATCCCCAAATCCTTCCCCCATTTCCCCTAAACCCCAAACCCTAAACCTCTCGCCTCCTCGATCCCTCTCCCAAAACATCAAAATCCCTAAAAAATTCAGCTTTTTAGTCAAAATTTCTGAATAATTTCAACAGCTGGAGCGCAAAAAGTCGGAGAAAATGTCGTGGCTGAGATCGGCGGTGAGCAAGGCGGTGGAGGTTGGGAACAAGAACAACCTCACCCGCACCGTCAAGAACTATGCCGACTCCGTCGTCCAGCACGCCGGCCAAGCCGTCGCCGAGGGCACCAAACGGTTCCAGGACCGAATGGTAATTTCACATTTTCCGTCAATTTTCTTTTTGACATTTTCCTCCATTTTTTCACACTCGCATTTGTTTACAGGGAGGTCGGAGCTTTAGGAGTGTGAAGAAGAGTATACAGCGATTGGAGGAAGCGGCTGTGTCCTGCAGGGGGCCTGAAAGACTTGAGATACTGAGGAGGTGGGTGCTGCTGCTGAAAGAGGTTGAGAGGCTAAAGCTTTCTCAGGGTTCTGCGGAAAAGAAGGAGAATGCGCCGGAGCAGCCTGCTGTGGCCGATGACCCGAACGAGATTCGAAAAAGAATCTCTCTGGTTCGATTTTATTTTGTTTTTGCACTTTTATTTCATTTCATACTGTTTTATTGGTTTTGTTGAACTATAGTTTGTAGTGGAAGCTTATGGTTTTTGGTAATGTGATTAGGTTTTGTATTATGATTCTGATGTTGGCGGTGAACCAATGAATTTCCGCGAAGTTTTTCTTCAAAGTCAGGCTTTGGAGGGCATAACACTGTCTATGGTATGAATTCGAGAAAGGAATGCTGCAATAATCAATGCAATTGAAGTATTTAGACATTTTTATGAAAGAAGTGTGCTTTTTTTGTTTTTATTCTTTTAACTAATGATTTTAGAAATAGTTCAGCCAAACCGGTGAGTGCTATGATGGATGAAAGAATGTGGTACATGAAGAGATTGCTTAGTTCATTAGTTAAGGGAAGAACTTAATGGAAGCATGGTGGAAAATGGTTTAAGTCGGGATGATCTTGTTGAATAGGCTGCTCTTTGTATTTTTTCGCAAGCATTATGACATATTCTTTTGGTTGTGAGGCACATGGAGTTTTCTTCTGTAATCAGAACCAGTGGCGTTTTCTTAATTAAGGAAAAAAAGGAGGATTAGGAAACTTATCTTTTTCATCAAATGCCTAAAACCTCTAAAACTGGAATTATCCTAAATGATCTTATATTTTTTTTTTGAAATTACTGATTCTGGAGGTTAACTGCTGGTTAACTCTTTACTATTTCTCAGATTCTTGAAGCTCCAAATGATGAAGAGGTTGCCCTGCTCATGGAGATGTTTAGGTGAGAACCAGGACTGTCCACTAGTGTGTAATGCAGTTCGTGGTCTATTAAGTGCCAGTTTTATTTGTCCGGGTTAGCAAAAATAAGGCCTGAATATATGAAACTGCAGGCTCTGTCTTACTGGAGGAACAGAAGTTCATCATGCGGTAGTGAGCAGTATACAGGACCTGGCAACAGCTTTTTCAAGCTACGAAGATGAAGTATTGGTAAAGATATAAAACTAAGAGTGCACTTGAAGATTATATCAACAAATTGAATTGTGGAAAAGCTTGATATATACATATTTTCTGTAAAGTTTATATAGATATAATTCACGCAAGTCTTGTACTTCTTTTTGCTTAAGTGAAGCATACTAGCTATATTCTCTTGTATTCAGGTAAAACGGGAGGAATTGCTCCAATTTGCACAAGGTGCAATTACGGGGTTAAAGATAAATGCTGATGTCGTAAGGTGTGCACAAGATAACAGAACTCTCTCTCTCTATCTCTCTCTTCACTTGATATAGCAATTTCATGAGTAACTTCTTATGTTTGCCCTAGTTTTATTTACCACACGCATTCACACCCAAAACATGAATGTGAATGAATTATCACCTTGTAAGTTGAATGATCATGAGCAAATCTGATCTTAATACATATTAATCTCTTTTGGCTTTTTCTTTTTTGAGAATAGGCAGTGGATTTTGTTCTTGTATGGATATGGACTAGTCCTGCCACTCTATAGGTGTATGGTTATGCAAATAAATTTGTTTATTTTTATTTTTTAGAAACTTTTACAGATTTGTTGGCTGGGATGGTGACCTTGGGCATTTAATTATCATACTGGTTGGATAGAGCGTAAAAGTGTGAGACTAGACCTCAATGGGTTAAAGGGGTGAGATGCGGCTGATAAACATTTTCTTACCTGTGTATTTATATATGTGTCCTGCTACAGAATAGATGAAGAAGCCTCTAGTCTAAAGAGGAAGCTTGATGCAATGAAACCACCTCTGAAGCCCTCAAATGAAGGGCATGACAAACCATCAGAAGAAACAAAATTGGAAACAATAGAGGTGAGCACAATTGCCATTATTGATTTTTGTGGTTCTAGTGCGTCATTACCTTTTATGTAATTAATCATAAGTTACGAAGACATGTCAAATATTATCAAGTGGAAGACTAGTGGCTTAATGATGCAATTTTAGCCATGGGCGACCCAATAGATAGCTGCTACTATGTGTGCAATTTAAACTTCTGACTTTCTGAATATAATAATAATTATAATATTATTTATATGGGAGGCTGCCATGTAAAAGGTGTCCATTGAAACTGTAACAATTAAAAATTCAAAGTTTACAACATACAGTAAAAGAAGCCATTTAAGAACTCCATGTCTAGGAAAAAAGACAACTGGCTGCTTGGTAGGGATTGAGTAAAATATCATGCACAAGGTGCAAATGAACTATGACAATGTCTTCAGGGTACATTCTGTACATGTCCAAGTTCTGCTTTTATTCCTTCTTTATAAGGTCCAATTTGATGGATTTCTGAAAGCTTTTTATTGGCCAGTTTTGAGTGAAAATTAAGAAAATAATGGATGTGACTGCCCTATGTTTCTTGTAGGCATTAAAAGAAGCACTTACACAAATTCGAGCATGTTCCAGATTAGAAGGGATTTTACTGAAGAAGAAATTGTTGAACAATGGAGATTCTCCA